GGGGCAGCAGGCGCCTGTTCCCGGCCCGGGGCGGCGGGCGCTGAGTGCGGGTCGCTTGTGCCAGCAGCCCCCGGTGGCGTTCGAGGACGTGGCTCTGTATTTCACCCGGGCGGAGTGGGAGCTCCTGTCCCCGCCGGAGAAGCAGCTGTACCGGGAGCAGATGCTGAGGAATTACCGGGCCCTGGTTTCCCTGGGTAAGGACCAAGTTCCCTTTCACTCACTGCAGTAAAACATCGGGGTGCTCAGCTGCCATGTGGCACCCAGAGGCAGCAAAGTCAGCCCTTTGCAGGGCCGCTTCCTGTTAAAGGACAAATCAGGGGTAAAGCCAGGGGCTCAGTTGAGTGTGATTTGCATTAGGTACCTCTGTCCTAGCACAGAGGTGGTTGCAAACAGCCCATGAGCAGCAACCTCTCCTAGGAATCCCTGCACAGCCACTGAGGGCAACAACTGGGTCTCAGGAACTGACTTTAGTTAGGTAAATAAGGCAGGGAGAAAACTCTCTTGCTGCTCATAACCACTCCCCATCTCTGCCAAAAGAATGAAAAACATTAATTTTACTGCAATACAGTGGAACAATGTTTGTTCCAGAAACAAAAGAACTGGTACCGCCACTCATCAACACCTTCAATGACTCCGCTCCCAAGGTATATTGGGAAGGGTCATCGATAGATGTTGCTGCGTCAGAGTATGATGGGGAAAAATCTTTTCTAAAGAAGGTTTACTTCATTATTCTTCTGTTTGGGATGTCTTGTGGGATGTCTGAAGCACTGACAGACACACCCTGACTGAGGTAAATATGTAAGTCCCTGCCACCAAACTTTAGTAATGAAACTGATTCTTTCCTTCCCAAACAGGCTATTCAGGTTCCAAACCAGACTTAATCCACCAGATCGAATTAGGGGCGGCAGAGCTCTGGGTCGGGGATGCTGAGGACTCCAGGAAAAGTTCCAGGCTTGAGAGCCCCATCTCAGGTGAGTCATAATCATCCAGTCCCTTCTGATTTATCCAGGAGGAGAGGGCTACTTGATGTAGAACAGAGGTTCCCAATCTTTTCCAGATGGGGACCCATTTTGACAACTCAGGAAGACTTGGTGACCCAAGGCAATTCAAAAACAGGGGAAAGGAGAAGAGAGAGGGTAAAGCCACCTGGGGAGACACTTGGTGACCCTTTTGAAATGTAATGGCGACCCATATTTGGGTCCCCTGATGTAGAAGCAAAGGCAGAGCAAGATGCTTTGGCTGGGAGCAAAAGGGAGACAAATTCAGATTGGGAATTAGAGGCCCTTGTTTATATAGGAGGGGAATTTGCCACTGCAACAGCTCTCCGACTGTGAGATGGATTCTCACTCACTGGGAGTTTATCAGTGGAGATATGCGCCTTCTCACATTCCGATCCCCTCAGCTTCCTCCCCACCTCTGCCACAGATTGTCCAAGCTCAGAATGAATTTTGTTACGAGTAGCAGTATGGAGGTGATATGTTGCATAGTATGCCCATTGATGTGAAAAGGAAGTTCATTCTGTACATAGATATAAAAAAAGTAGAGGGAACACTGTTGACTTTTCATCCGCTTATCCTCTTATCCCGCCTCTTGAGGATTTTAGTTTAGTTCTAGTTTTTCACAAAGAATGACACACAGGGCCCAGGGTGAATGACTTGAAAAGGAAGTCATAGAAAAGGAATAAACTATGTTGTTCTAAGCAGCTTTAAACCAGTCTCACTGCGTCCCCTTGAAGGGTGGGTAGTGCCTCAGCTGAACTAGTTTAGAACCAATATAGTTAAAACAGCACAACAGCTGGTGAAAAGGCCTCACGCTATAAAAGAAGAGAGTGTAGAACCAGCACCTTGTAAGGTTCAGTTGGGGCTGGTCCTGCTTTGAGGAGGGGGTTGGACTAAATAGGTGGCCTCCTGGGGTCCCAACCCTGATCTTCCGTGACAATAAAAACCTCTGATAGAAATAAAATGAAAATCAGACTGAAAACAAACCGTGGACCCATTTTGATCAGTGTTAGCACTTAGGGCCCAAGTCCTGGATCAGGACCCCGTTGTTCCAGGTGCTGCCCGTTGGCTGAATGAGTTAGAATTTAAGCATCAAAGGAGACCCAAGAGGTGCCTGGTGCACGTTGGAGTGGGCGCTAGGCACTGCACAACCAATGTAGGGTAGAACCATGTGAGCCAGGCTGCAGACTTGTCACAGCACCTCCTTGTATGAACAGTTCTGGAGCAGTTGCTGTAAATATAGTGAAAGTCACGGGCCACTACATTTACTGGGACTGCACCATGATTTTTAATAAACCAGCCTTCCTCCTCGCACCAACCATTCAGCATTTACCCCAGTGCTGCAACCCAGCCCCAGCCTGGGGCAGAGGAGTTGAGGTGGGCCAGGTAGGATCTGGGTGGCAATGTCATTCACTGAAGAGTGGCCCGCTTTCCCCACCATCATGACAGGAGGTGGATGGTGGGGGGCAGATCTGAGTGGCCGTGTAACCCTGCAGGCCAGTTGTCAGTGCCCAGAGCGAGGTGTTGCGTCCAGCCCTGTGAGACAGGAGCCACCTTTGCAGGATGAGGCATCCAGCCAAAAAAATGTCCCAGACAGATGAGGCAATTGCATCACCCAGGACACTTTTTCCTCCTTGACAAATCTGTAGCCTTAATTGTGAGCTAACACTGTGGTGGCTTCTGCTCTCTCCAGCAGGGCCCGGCATCCTGGGAGGAACGAGGACACCATTGGAATACGGGGAGAGCGTAACAGGAAAGCAGGCTCCCACATTCCTGATGGGGATCCACGGACAGGACAGAGTCCATCCTCTGGACAGTTTCAGCCAGAGACCAGACCTGGCTACACACCAGAGACGCCCCATGGACTGGCGTCCCCACTGCTGCATCGACTGTGGCAAGAGATTCAGCAACCCCTTCGCACTGACCCAGCACCAGCGCGTGCACACGGGGGAGCAGCCTCATGACTGTGCTGACTGCGGCAAGGGCTTTGCAGAGAGCTCAGAGCTGGGAAAACATAAGTGCACTTCCGCCGGGCAGCGCCTCCAGTGCTCTGCCACATCTGGTAGGAGTTTCCACAATGCCAACTTAGTGACGCAGAATCGGCGTGTGCGCACCAGGAAGCATCTGCATCTCTGCACCCAGTGTGGTAAGAGCTTTACAGACAGCTCAAAGCTGAGAATACACCAGCGCACGCACACAGGGGAGCGGCCGTACCACTGTGCCGACTGTGGCAAGGGCTTTGCACAGATTGGACATCTCCGATCTCACCAGCGTACGCACACTGGGGAGCGGCCGTACCACTGTGCTGACTGTGGCAAGACCTTTGTCCAGACTGCACATCTGAGATTACACCGGCGCATACACACTGGGGAACGGCCGTACCGCTGTGCTGTCTGCGGCAAAGACTTTGCAGACAGTTCAAGCCTGAGAGTGCACCAGCGCACGCACACCGGGGAGCGGCCGTACCTGTGCACCGACTGCGGTAGGGGCTTTCCAGATACATCAAGCCTGAGAGCGCACCAGTGCAAGCACACCGGGGAGCGGCCACACCGTTGCATTGATTGCGGCAAGAGTTATGTGCAGAAATCAAGCCTGAGAGTACATCAGCGCACACACACCGGGGAAAGGCCGCATCACTGCACCGACTGTGGCAAGAGCTTTACAGATGCATCAAGCCTGAAAGCGCACCAGCGCACACACACCAGGGAGCCACTGCACCACTGCACCGACTGCGGCAAGAGCTTTACACACAAACGAAGTCTGAAAGTGCACCAGCGCTTGCACACTGGGGAGTGGCCTCACCACTGTCCTCATTGTGACAAGGGTTTTTCACAGATCTCTCAGCTTAGAGAGCACCAGTGCATGCACACCGGGGAACGGCCACATCACTGCACTGATTGTGGCAAGAGCTTTGCACATAGCTCCAGTCTGAGATTGCACCAGCATGCACACACCGGGGAACGGCCGCACCACTGCACTGACTGCGGCAAGAGCTTTGCACATAATCGAAGTCTGAGATTGCACCAGCGCGTGCACACTGGGGAGTGGCTGCACAACTGCACCGACTGTGGTAAGAGCTTTAGAGATGCATCAAGCCTGAGAGTGCACCAGCGTGTGCACACTGGAGAGCGGCCACATCACTGCACTGACTGCAGCAAGAGCTTTAGAGATGCATCAAGCCTGAGAGTGCACCAGCGTGTGCACACTGGAGAGCGGCCGCATCAATGCAGCGACTGTGGTAAGAGCTTTAGAGACGCATCAAGCCTGAGAGTGCACCAGCGTGTGCACACTGGAGAGCGGCCACATCACTGCACTGACTGCGGCAAGAGCTTTGTATGTAGATCAAGCCTGAGAGTGCACCAGCGCACGCACACGGGGGAGCGGCCACACCACTGTGCTCACTGCAACAAGAGTTTCACGCAGAGCTCAAGCCTGAGAACGCACCAGCGAATGCACACTGGGGAACGACCATACCAGTGCACTGATTGTGGCAAGAGCTTTGCAGCTACATCGGGTCTGAGATCACACCAGCGCACGCACACCGGGGAGCGGCTGCTCCACTCTGATTATTATGGCAAGAGCTTCAGCCAGGCCTTTATGCTGAGCTACCATCAGTGCATGCACACCGAGGCCTGGAGCGGCCATTCCAATGCACTGTCTGCAGGAACGACTTTGCAAATAGCTCACTCCTCACAGTGCACCAGTGCTCTTGCACCAGGGAGTGACCGTACAGCTGTGCTGACTTGGGCAAGCGCTTTTCTCAATTGGGCTGTCTTACCTGGCACAAGATCACGTGCACTGCCAGGGCCTGAGGGGCTTCTGGCAGCTACTGAGCCTGCAACAACATGGTTCTGTCCCCATGATGCCCAGCAGAGACTGTGGAGCAGAGAAGGGGACTTAGCTGAGCAGTGTGGAGAAGAGCAGACGGGCGGGGGGACTTTAGAGCACATGGTCACAACCTACTCCGGTAGGGACTCCCTGCTTGTAGCTGGGATCCAGCCAGATCTCTCTCTCCCCCATACACACACAGCTAGCAAGGATGCAGCCAAAATCCACACCCCACTTCCCCATTTAGATGGGAACCAGCCAAGAAAGCTTCCCCACACACCTGCCACGGTTCCCACCGGTGAGTGACAACTAGAGATGGCATTTGCAGCCCTATCTCAGCCTGGATGGGGCTGAGGGACAGGGTGGGGACAACCCAGTTCATGTGGTTGACGGAAGACTCAGGAACTGCTCATTCCATCTATTTTAAATAGAAATGTGTAGAATGTATAACAAGTGTTTAATCAGGTGTCTCTTTTCTATTAAAGAAGCTGATGCATTCAGAGGGCATATGGAGAAGCCCATGTGAAATTTAAATCTTTAAGATGAACCAACCACAATATTGTACGGCCTCACTGACGACGAGGCCTGATGAAATACGTGACTGGCAGGTGCACAGAGTTTCCCAGGGCTCCTGAAGGAATTCTACACCAAAAAATTCTCAGTGTTTTAAAATTCTGCATGTTTTAGTTGTAAAAAAATAGTACAATATAATTACACTACTTTCAATTGTTTTGCTAATTTACTTCAAAATACCTATCAGCAACTATACAAACAACAGAACAGATCGAGGAAGTAATTTTTCACAAATAGATTCCTGATGCCTAACTGGTTCGGTCACAGAGATTCTTGAGACTGTCACTTGATGGGCTGATCAAACCCCTCAGCCAGAGCCTCTGGTCTCCCCAAGCAGAGGCACAGGGCTGGGGGGTCACAGCCCACAGCACAGTAATACAGACACTTAGGCTATGTCTACACTGCAGGCTTTTTGCGCAAGAACGGCTGTTCTTGTGCAGAAACTTGCAGAGCGTCTACACTGCACACGCATTCTTGCGCAAGTAAATTTATAGTACAGCGTCGGAAAACGGGGCTTCTTCCGGAAGAGTCATTCCTCTCCCCACAAGGAATAAGCCCTCTTGCACAAGAGC